AAAATATAGTAAATACTTTTGTTGGCTTTACTATCATGTATTTAAGGTTTTAATATTAATCATAGTTCATAAATATAATTTACAGCTAACTTATTTGCTGTAGTCCACCAATCTTCTTCATCACCAAGGATATGATGTGCATCAATATTTAATCGATTTGGCTTTCTCGTATAATCTACAATGCATCGTTTTATCCAATATTTTTGACCATTTGATGTAAATGGATTTTTAATAAATATTAAACCTAGGAATATTAAGCAATAATATATAAAATTATTAAAATTTATTTAAATTGATATTTGGATATCTTACCAGGTATATTTAAAACATCATAACAATTCCAATCTGATAAATCACTCTTTAAACCTAGATTGTCTAGTATTTTTTTATCATAGTTAGAAAATTCTGATGCTAATTTCTTAGGCTTCTATAATTAAATAATAATCATAAATTAGTGTTTTTGTTTGAATAAATTATAGAAAGCTATAAAGAATAACTTACCATGAGTTCGGTATTGATCTCATTTGCAAAGTCTATAACATCTGATAGTTGTTCAGATGAATTAATATGTTTATAAAACTTAAAACATTCTTTAAACATTATAAGACTAAATTAACATATATTTAATATATGGTTAAATTTTGATATAAATATCCAGCATATAATTAATATTCTCTTATTATTAAAGTTTAAAGTTTTCGACGTTTTAGACCTAACACAAGTAAGACTTTTACACTTTTGTCTTTTACTAAAATTAGTAAAATTTGATAATTTTGAACTCGGTCTAGAATCGACGTTATCAAAATTATCACGGCTGTAGATAATATTATTCCACCTACCGTAAAGACACGATGTAGAGAAGATAAGGTGACACCGCTCTCGTATCTTTCAATGTTACCACGCATTATATTATTATGATATTATATTATCCCAACAAAAACACTTCGTCGAACTCCGTGTAAAAAATATTGCTAAGTAAAAAAAACTAGTCAGCTATAAGACTTCAGCATCAGCATTATAAAGATGTGATATCATGAATAAATGCTAAG